GAAAGTAAGTATTTTTACAAATTAAATGAAGTTGACCAGACAAAACATGAAATGTTTTTTTTGCAATTTCCACAATATCCAATTTTTTTCTGATTTGGGGTTGTATTTGTTTAGTATTTATGGATGGGTGTTGGTGGAAAATGGTTTTAAATATTTACAGTTTGCATCTTGGATGATATGTCTTAAATGTGTATTTGTAATTTTCAGCATAGGTGTCTGAGATAGTGGAAAAAATACTACAACAACAATAAAAAATGGTTATATTAAAAGCGAAAAAGGTTACAACCATCCTTAGTCACTCCTCTTATTGGGTAACATAAGAGATCAAGTTTATTATCCCAAGTGATGGAAAATCTCATAAAACAGGATGTTCTTCCTTTAAGATGTGTTACATACCAGCCAGACACTCTGAATGAAATGATATCAAGCCCTTCGTAAAGTGCTCCACAGCAAATGGGGGAAATTGATTATATTCCTTTAAAGTGCCTCAAAAAACCCTTCAATTTGTGTTGCTGGCTTATTTCACAGCTCGGAGTGTGCAAAGGTTAGGATATGGTTTTCCCCTGGTTGCAATTTGTTTGTAAATCGCCATAGGCTTTCTAGGAATCTGTGACAAAAAAAAAAAGGCTATGTATTGTACCTTAAGTCAAGTGATAACTATATTTTAATCTAGTTCCATATGAGATTAATAACTGCTTTAAATGCAGTCCAATACAAATCAGCATAGAGAAACCATTTAGAGTAAAGAAGCGTTCAAGCTTTGGGGCTTCATTCTTTTCTAGTGGTGCTCATATCCCATCTGTCAGACGGGACAGTCAATGCAGGAGAGAAGAAATGAGAGAGGGAAAGAGAGAGAAGGAGGGAGGAAAAGAAACCAGAGACTCTGAACTGATAGATTACACTGTCTTAAAATGGAGTGCGTCTCAGCCTTGTAAATATATGACAAATGACAGTGCGAGAAGTATTGATTCCAGGCCTGTCCTGTGGAAACGGAGTCAGTGGCCAAGGCGACACGTGACGATGGGCACATCGAGAGCTGTACTTTCTCAAAAAATACAGGAATATTAATTTATGTCAGACTGTATGTCTGAAAAATACAACCCAGGCTCATTCTGAAAACGTACCCCTATATATATTTCTGGAGATTGCGAAATACATCCTTGGAGGTATGTTTTTTGCAGTTTTTTTTTTTTGTGAATCAACCAGAGGCCGCTGTGTATGCTTTTTGAGACATTAGGTTTTTCTCGCAAGTGACATTCGCACCTGCTGTTCTAGTGTAAATTCACCGGAGGCCGCTATCGACTGACTCACTGACCAATCGACTGACTTTCTTCCCTAAACCCAACCAATAGTGTTTTCAAAAGCACAGATTGACCCACCCGCCCACTTCCCTAAACCCAAGCGACAGTTTTAAAAAGCAATCCAGAAAAAGAAAAGCCGTCGCCTGGTTTTTACCATGTTTTTAGATTTGACCACATTCTCACCCTGTTAATTATTTGTATATTCATTTTTTTGGCTTTTGTTTTTGTCTTACCTGCTTTTTGTAACAGTTCTTCACTGGACTCAAATCTTGTCGTTGTGGTCAACTCCTCTCTGCATCTCAAGTCTGCCGACGTACATGGCGAGCTAACTGTATGAATTGGTAACAGCGGGAAAGCTGTCCACATGGAGGTAAGCGATCAGCTGGTAAGTGCAAAAAAGGATTGGCATCATACCAACCCGTAGCATTCGTTTTAAACACGAAATGCGACCATATATACTTCTGATTACATAATTCACAATATCCAGAAATTTATATAGGGCTATGTTATCAGAATGAGCCTATGTTGTAAAAATAAATAGAAGGGTCAGATGTTAGCGGAAGCTTGATGATAAACAAACAAACAAATAAATAAATCACAGTAATGTATAATGCAAAATCAAAGTCTTTGATTTGTAACATTTAATGAATATCACAAATTACATAAGCAATTATTAAAGTGGTCCTATTATGCTTTTTTACAAAAATATTGTAATTTTGTATTTTTTTGGCAGGGATGAACTAAAATATGCTGTCATGCCCTAATGTTTTTTTTTTTTAAAAACATGTTATTTTTTAAACATAATTCACACTTAAAATCATTTTCTCTCCAGTCATGCACAAATGACTCAATTAAATGAAGGCCTGTCTTCCCCAAATAGCTAAATGTTTTGTGATTGGTTAACTGCCTCAGTGCGTTGTGATTGATAAACTGCTTAGAGGGTGTTTTAGTGTTGCCACGCCCCTGCCAAAGAAGCAAGTTCTGTCTGCTCCAGTTTGATTAAGAATGATGTCAATATTGCCATATCAGTTTCTGACAGGTTTAGACCCTGAGAATATTGATCAAAAGGATCTCGCAGAACCTCTGCATGCATGGATACTGCAAGACATCAGAGTAGTAATGAAACTATTTAGTTTAGTTTGTTTTTTGGCTAAATCACGTTAAACTGCCCAGAATTATACCGTCAGCAATTTATTAAAACATTTTCATAATAATATTTTGAAATTTATTTCAATTATCTTCTAATAGCCCCTTTTGTAACATCACAAACAATGGAAAACAACAACAACCACACAATATCTCACTTTGGAGCGGAATTTGAGATTTGTGATTTTGTAGATATGTTTGTGCCAACGGCAGCGCAGTAGGGAGTGCTGTCGCCTCACAGCAAGTAGGTTGCTGGTTCGAGCCTCGGCTGGGTCAGTTGGCGTTTCTGTGTGGAGTTTGCATGTTCTCCCTGCATTCGCGTGGGTTTCCTCTGGGTGCTCCGGTTTCCCCCACAGTCCAAAGACATGCGGTACAGGTGAATTGGGTAGGCTAAATTGTTTGTATTGTTTATGTATGCATGTGTAAATGAGTGTGTGTGGTTGTACCCCAGAGATGGGTTGTGGCTGAAAAGGCATCCGCTGTGTAAAAACGTGCTGGATAAGTTAGTGGTTCGCTGTGGCGACCCCGGATTAATAAAGATACTAAGCTGAAAAGAAAATGAATGAATGAATCAATGTTTGTGCCAACATACTACACACTAACTTAAATTCAAATGTGAAAAATCATAATAGGACCCCTTTAACATCATATTGGGTGCTTCAGTCATAAGTAGTTGACTAAGACTATGGTTTACACTAGCTATTCATGCTATAAATAATATATTAATACATTTAGTATTAACAATGCATTCATCTAAACTATTTTCAAATTTAGTTTTAGCCATCTAAGCGTATTTATACCTAACAGTGTGGTCACGCTTTGTCTAATTAGATATTAAGTTGAATCGTGATAATATAAATTTCATATTGTATTTTCTGAGCAAGATGCTAATGGTCTAATCTGGATAAATCATTCAACATCTAAAGCATTGAAATGTGAAAATGGTTTTCTCTGTCCTGATTCTAACTGTGACAAGGAGACAGAAACAAAATCATGATCCATATGCAGAGTTTAGACAAGATCAGGCAGGTACAGGTCAAAACCAGAAAAGAGTCCAATCAAGGCAAATTAATCTGAAACATTTCTTAAACATTTCTCAAAATCTCTAATAATTTTTCTATATTTTGTGATTCATGTTTCCCCCTCCCCCATTTATTGGTGGCACCATGGATCCATGAATTTTCCTCTAATAAATTTTGATTTTTGTTGACATTTTGCTTTAAATATTGTATTAGATTTTTTTTAAAGTGATATATTGTTTGAGTTGATTTTGTAAATTACAGTACAAAAACCTGGTAATAAACTGTAAGTACATATTCTGCTTAATTCCCTATTTATTACTTATTACCAGGGCTTATTTTGTGCCAAAGTAAGCTGGATCCGGAGCCGGCACCTCTAAAATCTGATCCAGCACCTCATTTTACAACCCATTCAGTTGCATTTTACTAATCCCCCTCCTCACATGCACCCCTCCCCTCCCAGCTCTTCACTTTCTTTCACGACTCCCCAATCCTCTTCAATTTTATCTGTGACACCTCTCTCTCCTCTGGTAACATGCCGGATCCGTTACACCGATCTGTTCCAGGACCTCACATTTTAAAAAATAATCACTGCTTTTTAAACAATATGTAGATTTTCCAAACTACTACAAATGTATATAAAAATCTCTTTGTTACATCACAGAGTTTGATTTTCAACATCAAAAGTCGACAGAGCAGAGCTCATACCTTTAAATAAACTGAAAAAAAACCCCTATGAAATCATGGAATATTGCACCTTAAAAGGGTGGTCCACTACGATATCATATTTAGTTCATGTGTAATGTAGATGTGTGTAAATAAACAACATCTCTGAATGTAATACGCTCAAAGACATTGGCTTTTGCAGAGTTAGTTGCAGAGTTAATGCCTTTAGAAAATTAAGTTTGGGGTCTAAAAAAAATACATCCAGGTTAGTGAGATGACAAATGCTTCATGTTACGTGCATACACCACATGCATACAGCCCACGCAGTGAAGGGGCCTGGCCAGAGGCATTGTAATGTTATAACAGAGAAAGCTAAAATGCCGTTTAAACGCTGCTATTTTCACAGAGCTTGTTCTGTTTCTGTATTTGGGCTCCTAAAGGACATGACACAACAAGAGATGTGCTTATAATTTATTGTTAATTATGTTCCAGAGAATTAATAAAAAAAAACGATATGGCTAGCATTTGACAATGGCCAGCTTCCAGCTTCAATTAACGGTATGTTGTAGCAAGGAGTTAAACAAGCATTTAAACAATGGAAAATGCTGTTTGGCACCATTAACAATTTAGCTACAAATTTATATTTATCAGTCAAACTGCTGTAAACACACACAATCTTCAGTAGCCCTGCAGTGTCTCTCTATGCGGCCGATGTCCATGGGTTCTACATCTCAAATAACAAACACCAAAAAAGATATACGAACATTTCATATTACACATGCTAATCCTGAATTTATGTAAAAGACACTTGTCAGATTTTATTTCAGATAGCAGGCGTGAAGCTCAGCTGTGTCTTTTCATTTAATGTCTGATTTACAGTACACTGTAAAAAAAATCTGTAAAATAACAGTTAAATGACTGTATATTTTAACAGATTTTTTCCGTATACACGTATTACGGGTGTTTTTCCGTTTATATACATTTTCGAATTGCATTGTGGGAAGGGGATCGCAGCTCAGACAGCGTTTGATGGACACCGGGACATATTTCTTCCTCTGTTTTTTCCCTGGTAAGTACGATTAATAAAACATATAACAATATTTTAGTTAAAAGACTGCTTTATTACCTTTTTATCGTTATTTAAAATGATTTTTGTCTTTTATGAAGCGCCCATGGAAAGTACAGCAGTGAATTACGTTTAATATTGTTAATAAGATCAGACTTTATTTCATTAAGATCAAACTGAGCTATGAGTGGTTAAATGTAATTTAAACAAGCATTTACGTAATGATTTTTTACCTTTTTATACGTTTTTCTCATCAGTAAATATGATATCTGTTCATTTACAGTTGTTTGTCCGTATTTTTCTAAACTGCCGTGCGCGGGAAGTGGCGTGACGTCCCAATCACCCACTCACTCCCTCTGCACCTGACTGGATTAACGGTAAACGTCAGTTTGTCTGTAAGAGTGTAAAAGGTATGTTAATTATTTTATAGAAATATAAATGTTTTCTTTGTACAGTGCATTGAACAAGGCATAGCATTCAAAGTTTGTGTCACTGTGTAGTTTGGTTGATATACGTTAACGTTACCTTTAATGAACACTAACGTTAACGTGTTTCAAACGCTCGTAACACCTGACCGTCTGTGTTTGTTTGCATATTAATGACTAATTTCATATTTTTACTGACGTTATCAAATGTTAGCTTTAGTTTGACCGACGTATTAAGGCTGTGTGACCGAGTTTCAGTGGAACAGCTTTGCTGGTTTTTAAGTAAGTTATAAGTTAGACTCGCGTGAATTGGAGGCATTTGTAACTCGGTATGAGGGGAAATACACACTCGTAAAGTTTTTATTAGTGGTGGGCCGTTATCAGCATTAACGTGCTGCGTTAACGCGAGACTTATCGCGCGGTAAAAAAAAATATATCGCCGTTAATCTATTCTCAACGTTGGGTTGGGAGCTGGGTGACTTTCATACTTTGATATTTTAGCGCGGATGTATACCTGACCGGTGAGCCGTCTGACAAACAAGTGCCCTTATGAATCAAATCAGCAGGATGCCTGACTTTAACTGCAGTTCGGCAGTTTCACTTTAACTCATGAACATTTCATTCATCCCGCGTGACAAACTGGGGTAATAGACGCAAATAAGAAGCAAGAACTGATGAGAGTGTTATGGAATTTAACAACGCTCGCCAAATGGAACGAAAAAAAAAAACTTCCGCATTTCGCGACGCGTGTTTGTGTGTACAGAGATAACAGAGTGATACAGTACGTGTGTGACATTTAAAAGTATTTATAGTGTTTACACTGTCATGCGTTTTCGGCCTCAAATACAACGTGTACCTTAAAGCACACAATTAAATGTTTGTTGTAGTCGAGTTAAACTGTCATTGATATTTATTTATTCACTTTTAAGAACCTCAAGGGCAGCTAATATGAAGATATAAAGATGAGTTGTTCTTCCACAGTTTTAAAATTCTTCAAACTAATTGTCAGTTCGATTCATTATAGCAAATAATACTTTCTTTACTATTAGGAGATCAGGAGTTTTATTTTAATGAAACCTTGATAATAGAGTGAACTACACATGGTGTTATCGCAAATGAAATCTTTTTATGTAGATTTTAAGTGAGTTTTATTTGCACAAATAAGGTTCACTGATATTTTGCTTTGTTGACTTTCAGGTTCTTTCATTTTGGTTATAAGTACATGTTACAGGTAAATTCTTAGATTCAATCCAAACTGAATTTGAATTAATACGGACAAATGAAATAAAATACACCTGGGATTTTAAATGTTTTCATTTTTTTATTATTCACAACGTTTGTGAAGTCTAAATGTAGACTGTCTCAAACTGAATAAGTGTTATTTTTGTTGTAGGTGTGTTGGTGTAAAAATTGATGCTGACTGGTTAGTACTGCATTTTTAACCATAACAATAATGATTTATATTTAGCATTGCATCTATTGTCATTTTACCAAGAATGTGTTTGCTCTTTCAGAACTCAGGCAGTTGTGCTGGACCCTCTGTACCTTATACAGGAGATGACTGTAAACTTTCAAGTTTAAGAGGTAAAATGTTCAGGGTTTTTCTGTTTGATTTTGAGTGTTTTGTAGATATAAGGTTCACTGATATATGATATAAGATTTGCTTTATGTTTATGTTGTCATTTTAGTTATAAGTACAAGGTACAGGTACATTTTCACAGCAATCTAAATTAAAATCTTAAATCTTACATTCAATCCAAACTGAATTTGAATTAATATGGACAAATGAAATAAAATACACCTGGGATTTTAAATGTTTTCATTTTTTTGTTATTTACAAAGTTTAAAGTTTAAAAGTAGACTACGTGCTGCATGTTTCAAACTGAATGAGTGTTATTTTTGTTGTAGGTGTGTTGGTGTAAAAAGTGATGCTGACTGGTCAGTACTGCATTTTTTAACCAAAAAAATAAACAATGATTTATATTTAGCATTGCATCTATTATAATTTTACCAAGAATGTGTTTGCTCTTTCAGAACTCAGGCAGTTGTGCTGGACCCTCTGTACCTTATACAGGAGATGACGGTAAACTTTGAAGTTTAAGAGGTAAAATGTTCAGCGTTTTTTCTGTTTGGTTTTAAGTGTTTTGTACATATAAGGTTCACTGATATTTTGCTTTGTTGATTTCCAGGTTCTGTAATTTTGGTTATAAGTACAAGGTACAGGTACATTTTCACAGCAATCTAAATAAAAATCTTAAATCTTACATTCAATCCAAACTGAATTTGAATTGATATAGACAAATGAAATAAAATACAGCTGGGGTTTTAAATGTTTTCATTTTTTTTTATTATCCACAAAGTTTGTAAAGTATAAAAGTAGACTATGTGCTGCATGTTTCAAACTGAATGAGTGTTATTTTTGTTGTAGGTGTGTTGGTGTAAAAATTGATGCTGACTGGTCAGTACTGCATTTTTATAAATAATACAAAAAATTAAAATAAAAAATGATTTATATTTAGCATTGCATCTATTGTCATTTTACCAAGAATGTCTTTGCTCTTTCAGAACTCAGGCAGTTGTGCTGGACCATCTGTACCTAATACAGGGGATGACAGTTAAACTTCCAAGTTTAAGAGGTAAAATGGTCAGGGTTTTTGTTTGATATTGATGCTTTTATTTTTATTATTTGGCAAACCAATTACTTGTACCTATATTTTTACTAAGTGTTTACATGAACACATTTTGCTTCAGTAAGTTTTGAATTTTGTTAACATGTATTCAAACTAAAAAGTACTGGGTTGATGTGGGTGTTTTATCTGGGTTTTTTAACCTGCTACTGTAATCTGTTAAATGAACCAAGCAGTTATTTATTATTATTATTTATTTTTGCATCATTTGAAATGTTACAAGTTCTTTATTTTGGTAATGTCTGTTTAAAGTGATAAGGAAATAACTGGTCCACTGCTGAATCTCTTTTCTTTTCTCTCTTAGCCACCTGATGATGAGAGAGACAATTTCAATGTGGGCATCTTGATGGTGAGCCAGGCCTTCATGCTGATTTTGTGACCGTTTAATCTATTTAGCGTCATTGTAATAACTTTATTTCAGGATGCAAAACTGGCTAAAAATCTACTTTAAATTTCAACATTAATTGTATGATAGTGTGGTTGATTTAACATTTTATTTAATGTTGGGTTCATTGTAAAAAAAAAAAGATTTAATTTTGGTTGAATAAATGCTGATTTTGGGACAGTTTTGTCTATTTATTATCATAGAATTACCATTATTTCAGGGTGGAAAACTGCCTAAAAATCAGTGGTGACTTTTTAACGTTGTTTCAATGATAGTTTGATTGATGTTTTAACATTTATTCAATGTTAATTTAACGTAGGTTTGCTCTCTGGGTAAGAACTAACTTAAAAAATGCAAAAAACTTATGTATGTGCCACTTGAATTTTGTATCACATGTTATTGGCATGTTATGGAATTTAACTATGGCAAATAAGTGAGAGGAGATGGAAAGCTATGATGTCTACACGTTTTCCTGAAACATTTTCAAGGTCAATTCTTTCTTGTATAAAGATAGTGGAAAAGAAAGAAATGTAAAACAAAATGGTTTATAATTTTTTTACATTTTTTTTCTTTCCTTTATTGTTTTTTTTTTGCCTTATTTTTGTTCTTGCACTATAATTATTTCTTGTAATATTTGATTAAGTAAATATATATTTTTTAATTTCTTTTAAATTATGTAGCAGACATGTATTTGAATAATTTTACATAATAATTATAATATTTATAATATTATTAATAATATTAATAATTTACCATATAGGTGTGCATATGTGTACCCATATATGTACATGTAATATAGGAAAACAGCCAATTTTATATTTGTCACATATTTCAAAAACCTAAATCAAAACCTATATTAAACCATATGTTTATATAGGTTCTTTCCATGTGGACGTGTACCAGACCCAACACACAACTCACTTTTCTTTTCTTTTTTTCAGAAGAAGAGTCCACAGTCACAATAACAAGATCATTGAGCTGTCCCCTAATTGTGGTGAGCTACATGTTTAGTCTCTTATGTGCTAAACATTATGTAGCCTAAGGAAGCAGCCCTGACTCTGGAGTTTATATGAAGGTCTGTTTTTACATTTTTAAGTTTATTTCATTTTTATAAGACAAGTAAGTTGATACATGTTTGTTGTATTTACAACAGGAGCATGCTGAGTAACTATCCAGAATGTAGGTCCAAAGCAGAAAAAAGAGCACCAAGCAGAAACATACCATCTAAACTCCTTCGATTCCTGTCAGACCAGAAAGACTTTCAGAATCCTTGGAAGATTTAAAGGTAATTAAGCAAACCGGTAATACTTTATAATAACTAAACACTATTGATTAATTTATTAAGCATTAGCAAAAAGTTCTGTTAAGCTTTAACTCTACATTAACAGACCTTAGTATACAGTTTATAACTACAGCTGCAAATGCTGTAATCTTGACTTATAAGCACATCTATAATGTGCTTAATGATTTTGTTTTTATATTTTGTTAATGACTAATTTTTCATTACTAAATTTAGTATAGCATTATTTACAAACCAGTAATTTAAGAATAGTTGGTGTATTTTTTTTCTAATCATTCAGAATGTGTAAGTAAATGGTTAATAAACTATTTAAACTAACATTTATATATCTTATTATTCAGTCATATAGTAATAGTTGGGCAGCACAGTGGCTCAGTGGCTAGCACTGTTGCCTCACAGCAAGAAGACCTCCGGGTGCTCCGGTTTCCCCCACAGTCCAAAGACATAAGCTATAGGGAAATTGATTAACTTAATTGGCTGTTATGTATGAGTGTGTTTGTAAATGTGTGTATGGGTGTTTCCAAGGGCGTACTCATGCTATGCACAGTTGCCTTGAAACTGGAAGCGTGCTTGTCTCCCCCGACGACCCGCACTCACATTGCATTCGAGCCTGAGCATGCTTACATCATCAATAACGCACTGTTCAGTTTAACAAGTGCTCTCACTCAGCACAGTGGAGATTTCTTTATATTGTTATATCGTTTTAGTTGTTCAATATGCAGTGACACGCAGTCAAATATTTCACCGAACAGATCAGCCACTTTTGACGCTCATAAACAATCAAAGTCAACGTGCTGCAGGTACTAGGAGGTTTGCTAAAGGTGCAGCTGTTGTGCAGTGAGGGGTTTGTGTCTTTAATCTATGACAGTTTGCAAGGGACTTTGATTTGGATAAATTAACCACTATTACTGTTCAATGAACGCAAACCCCTTACTGCACCACAGCTGCGCCTTTAGCAAACCTCCTATTCCTGCAGCACAAGGAGTTTATGATTGTTTATTAACATCAAAAGCGAAATTCTTGACAGCGTGTTACTGCATCACAAACGACTAAAACAATATAACTAAAGAATTCTCCTCCGTGCTGAGAGCACTTCCTAAACTAAACAGCGCATCATCGATGATGTAAGAGTGCTCAGGCTCGAATGCAATGTGAGTGCGGGACGTCAGGGGAGACGGGAGGGAGGACAAGAGTGCTTCGGCCTGGTTCAAGGCAACTATACATAGTGTGAGCACACACTAAGCTGAAGGAAAATACATGAATGAATAGTAATTGTTATACTTGTATATAAAGTATAAAAAATAAGTATATAAAGTATATACAATACTTATTTTAATAAGTGCTTTTGTTAACTTCATCCAGTTTTGTAGCCTAAAGTGAGGATTGTTTATGCTTTGTAAATCGCCTTATAAATCACAATTAAAGATTCAGTTATATTCTAAAAATGAAATTCATTTTATTGTATTAAATGAAAAATAAATCTTATCTAAAATAAAATTACTGTACAGTTTAAACATAGCTAAATAACACTGAAATGTTGCATCGTAATATATCATTGAATTATTTTATTGTTGTTTTATCCAGTTTTATGTTATATTTTGGCACTCCTGCTATTCAGCAAGGTTTAACTGTCGTTTATAAGGATTTATAAATCATAAATAATCCTCACTTTAGATTAGGCCACAACTGGAAGAAATTTTGTAAATAATGCAATATTAAATATAATATTATATATATATATATATATATATATATATATATATATATATATATATATATATATATATATATATATATATATATATATTTTTTTTTTTTATCTATAAATAGTAATGTAAAATCAATCATTTAAGTTTGATAACACAATTATTAAACTGTAGCTGTAGCAAATTTTGCAGCTGTATTTATAACCAACTGCTAACATCTATTAATGTAGAGTTAATGCTTAACAGATAATGAATTCACTATTTGCTAATGCTTCATAAATGAATCATAGCCCGTAGTTATTATAGTGTTACCAGCATAGTATTTTTATATTACTGTTTCTCTCTTGCATTATTGTTCCGAATATTGTCAAAAGTACCTACACTTTATTTTGAAAAATCTTAAAGTGATTTCTCACCCAAAACTGAATAATTGATCATTCATAATTTACCTACTCTCTTGACATTTTAAACCTGTATGACTTTGTTTCCTCTGCAAAACACAAAATATCATATTTTAAAGAATGTTGCTCCTATTTCTCCTATTTTGTTCTGTTGAAGTATATCAATCAGACAGGCTTGAAATGACAAGAGTGAGACATGAAGATGATGATAAAACTTTCATTTGTGTAAACTATTGACATGCAAGGAATTACCCCAGTTGTAAGTGAAATGTCATTAGTAATGTTTTTTTTTTTTTTTTTTTTTTTTACAGCCATTGAAGTATCAGTATTGGAGCGGAAGAAGACCCAGTTGTATCGTCTGTTTCCTGCCATCTTGCAGTTAACCTGGTTTCTTAATGTAAAGTACTTGTAATTTGCCCACTTGTCCTCAATTATCTTAAAGCTAACATTTAAAACTAATTTGCTTTGAGATTATTTGCCAAGACTTCTCACTGTGTGATTCACATGTCAATATGTATTTATTGTGTGTATAACTTGCTATTTGGAATTCAAATGATTTGTATTCATTAAAGAATCTGTTTTAATTGCAAAGTTGTTTTTGTACTAATCATTGTAAGTTCACAGTTAACAAACTATTTACTGCTTCTCTACACATACAGTATGGAATACATGTTTTGTTTTACTATGGTAAACCATTAGTAGTGTATTTCCCATATGTATAGGTTTATCCTTACCAACTGCTATTTCTATGCTGCTTGAAGAGCATTAAATTAGTAAAATAATATTTTTTTTACAGTAGGTATCCCATTAAAACAAAGAATCTGTTCATTTTTTCACTGTATATATGCTATTAAAAAACAAAAAAGTCCTCTTTTTACAGTAGGTATACAATTAAAACACAGAATCTGTCTGTTTTTTTACAGTAGGTATACTATTAAAACACAGAATCTGTCTGTTTTTTTACAGTAGGTATACTATTAAAACACAAAATAGTTCCGCTTTTTTACTGTTGGTATACCCTTAAAAACACAGAATATAACCGTTTTTTTATATAGAAAACCCTTAAATTACTATAAAATGGTTCGTTATTTTACAGTAGTTTAACCGCCAAAAAACGAATATTTTTTAGTTTTTTTAATGTGGACACACTGTCAATTAACAGAAGTTTTCCGTTTTTAATTTACGGTAAAATATTTGTGTAATGAGCTGCCAGTACATTTTACCGTTTTTTTACGGAATTTTTTTTTAGAGTGTAGGCTCAAACTGCTACAACTAACAGCTACTCATGGGGTGCATTTCAAAAACCATTGTTAGCAAACTAAGGTTTCAAGTGTCAATACAAATATAGTTAGTTGATTTGGTGATTCCCAAATCCATTGTTCCAACAAACATTCGTAAACTGCCTCACAAACTGCTATGGTTGCAACTACACCTCTGGAGCTGTAGTTAGAAAGCCAGTTCCTGGCTGTGTTGTATTACCAGTTATCCCCCATGCCCTATTCCTTTAGAACAGTCAAACATCTAAACTTAGAATGATTTTTTTAAGCATTAAAGTAATCTCTCTTAGGTGTAATTTGTTTTCAAAGTATTTTTACAGTTAAGTTTTAGTGATCTTCATGTTTACAATTGCACTCCCTTCGCAGTGCACTTTGAAAACATTGATGTCAGGTGATCTATTATTTAAAAACGGAATTTATGTTACATCTCCAAAGTTTGTGAAAACAAAAAAAAAAAAAAACATAGCATCCATTAATGCCTTTAATTTATAGTAGGTTATTTTTTAAGTATCTGTACATGACATGGGCCTACTTGAAATAACATTTCTGCAGTGGTTTGTATGTGTCAAATTGTAAAAGTAGACTTTTCCAAAAATAATATCCTACTTAATAATAATAATTATTATTATCAATATTAACATTATAATTAAAGAATGATTTTTCATTTCCTAATAAATAATAAATATTAAATTTATTTCTTAATAGCCTCATTATTTATTTATTTTAGAAGAAATATAGTTTTAGAATAAAATAAGTAATGATTTCACGACGCGAGTTATGTCGTTGTTTGGGGAACGCACCCCTGACTGACAGTATTTACACAGCCGAGGCAAAGCGCATGTTATTATAGGCATGACGCTTTTGCTAGTGACGTGGAGCCAATCCGCGAATCACAGCACATTATGTTACCTGACCAATCAGAGCCTCTTGAGGGCGGGCTTTTGGAGGAACTAGGAAATATGACAATCATTTTCGTGTTAGCTGAGTAGCTGTATATAATCAAAGTAAGATATTTGAAATAACAATTTTTTTTTTTTTTTTTTTTTTTTACAAATTAAGCATTAGCACACATTGCTTTGCATCTTATAAACACAATCAAGCCTTAAAAAATACACTCTGGACCACCCTTTAAGATTGCTCTTTTTTATCTAGCAAAAAGCCTATATATTAAAAATGTTTCCCTCCCAAAAGTGTCAATTTAAGAACTAAAAATGTTTTAGATTTATTGTAGTTTTTTTCAAAACTGTACAGTTAGGCTGTGTGTCCACCAAAGCATTTTAATTGTATATGTCTATGTGTGTGTGTGTGTGTGTGTGTGTGTGTGTGTGTGTGTGTGTGTGTGTGTGTGTGTGATCCTGGTATTCCTTACATTGTTGGGAACATATGTCCTCCAGTAATACCAGTATATACCTCATCATTTTGTGTGTGTGCTTGTATGCGTGCATGCGTGTGTTTGGGTGGTTGTGCGTGCGTTCAATGTATTTCAATTAAAGACACTCAGAGCTGTGTAATCACACTGACAGGCAGGTGGTGTGTGAAGGAAACTGCCTGATTGAGATCTCTCCTCTTTTCTTAGAAACGGCGGCGTAAAACTTCAACAGATCTGGGTGCTTTCAGTAACAGGGCAGGCTGCTGTGGTCAAGTTTTTCTGTTATGATTATGACATATCTCGACTAAAGAACAGAGTGTAAAACCAAGTCAAGCGTCTCGAGAAAATCAAAGCTATTGTTTCCTATAAAGTGTTGCGTTAAAGCCGGGGAAGAGGCTGGAGTGAGCTGTGAGCAAACCGCTGTGACAGCCCGAGCAGGTGCACTCAGGATGAGAGGCAGAATGGATCCCCCATTGAGAGGGACAAAAAGGCCTTCTCTCTCCACATCTGACCACTGCAGGAAAAGAAAGACCGGCCATGCTGATATAGTGACCCCTGGCTGTCTATCTTGCTCTCTTTGACTCACTTTACTCTCTCTCTCTTTCTTTCTTTTCATCCTTGAACCGCCATCTGTGGTCACGGTACAGCACAGACTGACAGCCAACTCCATCTCCCCAGGTCTAAAGCAGTCATGAAGGATTAGGCCTCAGCTCATGATGCTTTCTGGTTGGTTTAGTCCGCTGGTTAGCAGTCCTGGTGCCAAATTAGTGCACCTCGCATCTGTGCCTCGTAGCAGAACCCACCGTTCTATAGCAGCCGATCAACTGGACAGGAATTGATAAGGCAGGAGAGTGACATGAGGTGACTGAGATAAAGTTTTCAGCTTGTCCGCCACCAAGGCAATCTATTTTTCTTAGATTTTAAAAACATACAGGTTAAATAAATGATAAGGTAACACCTAACAAACAACAGCAACAAAACATTGTCTGGGAACTTTCAGAGTCATCATAAGGAACTACCTCAAGACGTGATTTATAATTGCAGCAAACTGTTTGGAAGCATTAAAAGTGTTCATGAAGTTATTTGAAAAAGCATGTCACAGATGAGATAATGACGGACGTTTACTGTAAGATGACAGACATAACCTTAAACACCTACATCTGAACGTCAGGTCCACATCACTGTTTAACATTCAACCTAAAATCAACCAAATATCAACGTCTAATGATGTTACAGCTTGACGTTGTGTGGACATTACCACTATGACGTAAATCGGATGTTAGATTTTGGTTGCCATACCTGACAAATAAATGTCAATATTTGATATCAATATGACATTGATTTAAAATGTTGTCTCATCGTTGGATTTTGGTCACTTTCCAACATAACCTAAAATCAACCAAATATCAGCATCATTTGACGTCGTTATTGGACATTAAAATAATGTTGTCCTTAGATACTGGGTAGTCATTGAATTTTGGTCACCTGACATCACAACCTAAATCTAACCTAATATTAACGTCTTATGGTGTTGTGTGCCTGCTGAGGAATAACTAAATGCACTACAGAATGTTACATTTACACACATCCACAAATTACATGTTACATGTGTCTTTTTACTCAGACTTTGAGTAATATTTACAACAGATACTTTTATTCTACTTGCACTACATTTTTTGGCAAGTAATGGTACTTTTACTTAAGTATCATTTTTAGAACTCTTTCCACCACTAATAATATACTGCATGAAGTAATAGATATAGAAAATAAATTTTAGAGTAACAGAAAAATACTATCAGCTCACTTCATGTTTTTATAACATAGTTTCCATAAGTGTTTCCCAACCCTTTACCTGAAGGCACGACAACTGTAAACATTTTCAACCTCTCCCTAATCAAACACACCTGAACCAACTCATCAGAACAATAGAAAAGACTTCAAAACCTGAAATGAAGGATTCAGATCCAAAATATACTGTTGGTGTGCCTCTAGAAACAAGGCTGGAAAACACTGGTTCACACGATCAACCTAGACATTATCACATTGTTTCAAAGTTCTTAAAAGTACAAAACAAAACCTTAAAAAAAGTCAAGATTGGACAAAATTGGTAAAATAAATATGATTTTCTCATTGACTGATTCTCATAAAAAAAATTTAATTGTTCAAACTATGCCAGTGCACTGCAATTGTCACGATCACCAGCGATTGTAACTTCTAAGATCACTGGATCTCACTCATAATCACTATGGACTACAAATCCGTCATTTCTGGACTACATTTTCATACATGAACTTCGCTCACATACACATATGCTTCCTCATTCTGACTGATTACACTAGCACCACCTGAGGATTGTCAAAGACTAATTACATGCACTATTTAAAGCAGCACACACTTCCATTGACAAGTCTTGTTTTCTGTTATAGTGACATCAACAAGTTCTATATTTATAGATTATCTATAACGTGTTAAAGTATTTAACAAAATGAATTTCAATGTATAAAAGTGTTAAATTCTATTTTTTCAGTGATCTTTTGTTAGAGATCTCCATCAAGATATTTATATATAAACCAAATAAATAAATCTTGCAAATTAAAACTACGCAAACATACCAAGATGCTATATGATTTAAACGTTACAAAATCATATACACTAGAACAGAATGCTAACTTGTGAATGTTACACTAGAACAGCTAATTTTAAATGCTCTGGTTAAAGACTGGTTCACTGCTTTATTCAAATAAATGCTTTATCCAGCGACACAAATGATGGCCAAATTAACCACCAACACCCTGCTGATTCATTGGCTGAAACATCTCTGCTGGTCGACCAACTAGACAAGCACCAAACCAGCAAAACCCACCAAAAAAACAACAACAACAAAAAAAAAATCCAGTTTTTTTTTATTTTTTAACAAC